TGTTTAGTGATTTCCTTACTTCAAATCTATTTTCTTCTCTCAAAATGAGCAAAGGTTGTTTTTCACTTCCAATGAAACAAATTCGTAGTATGGCTGGCTTGGTTCGATCTATCCCGTAAAATGATTTATGAAAAAGGGAAAGTTATTCCATTGGAAGTCCCCAACCTATTAAATTTGCACAAACAAATCCCCAAACTTTTTCTGCTAAAATGTCCTCAACCTTCCAACTTTGTCGAACCAAGTCCTTGTTGGGGGATAAATAAGTAGCGGGGGATCTGCACTCCCCGAATTTTTAATACCTCGATACATGTGCTAGTAAATGAAAAGACGTCATTTCATAAATGGAATGTCAATTACAGTGCACTATAATGATGCCTTCGCATTTGTAGGTTGGATTACAATTTTTCAAAGGTTATGTCACTTGTAGTATAGTATGTGTGTTGACATTTTCTCCATTTCTTCTATTTTGTTTCCGTTATACATTTTTATATAAAAGTTAATTTAACTACGTATATCTGAACTGCTTTTAACGTTGACAGAAATTGTCTACTTAGGACCAAAAATGTATAAAAAGTTAAGACTTATTTTTTGCCAAAATACACGTAGGTCGAAGACCCCACCGAAATTTCCTATTCAAACCCCAAACTTGCATTTTTTGAAAATGAATCGCCATGCTATTCAGACGACGAAAAGGGTGGAAAAGTCTTAAATATGATGAATCAAAGAAAATTTTTAGTACTCCCAAAGTATGAAACTAAGAATGAAAAAGAAAAATGCTATAACTAAGAAATGCACCATGTGCAAAAGCTTTAATCGGAGTATGGAATATTTATTAGTCATCATGTCATGTCAATTAAATAGGGATAAAGATATTTGGCCAGGTCGGCCACGGCCTTGGCTGTCAAGCAGAGCTCATTAAATAATGATACCGAGTAACAAATTATATATTTCGAAAATACGAAGAGCCTTATTGGACTTTAGCTGAAATTTAGGCCCATTGTCAAATGGCCTGACATGTTGGGCCTTGTTTGCCATAGTAGCTTTAAATTTGAATGCAAACTATCTATTTCAAATAAGTGGTCAATTTCAATTTTTATTTCCCCCTTGTCCTTTTTCCCACATCAGTTGAAACAGAAACGCATTCTAGAAGTTTATTATTATTATTTTTATTTTTATTTTTTAGTTTTGCGTCCTAACTATATGGCATATCAAATGCTACATGCTACTCTCTTTTTATGATAGAGTTGGAAAACCCGTGTTCGTCAATGACAAAATAAGACGATTTGCCTCTCCAGATAACATAATAAAATTACGATCATCAGAAATTTCTTCTAATCTTTCCCTATTTATTAAAAGCGGCAGGTTGAACACTTGTGTCCATTAACCTAACTATTATTTTGTGCACAGTCTACACAAGAATGCTACGATTTGAGGACATATTTGAAGTCCAAACAACCACTAGCAAAGACACTTTCATAAAATTTCAGAGAGTGGCTAATATTTAAAAATGTGATCAAAGCTAGATTTCAATGTCGCAAATACCGCATGCCATCCTGCCTGTGTGGGATGTGCGTTATCCCAGAAGTACGCAGATGTTGGATCATTGCACACGGTATACATTTTAGCTCCTTTGTCGTCTACACTTCCACAGAGATAGCCGTCGTTCTTGCCCATACAACATGGCTTCAATGGAGTCTTGAACTTCATATTTCCTGCTCAATAAAGTGATCAAATATAAATGAAGATTCAAAAAGGAAGAAAATACTTGACAATAAAGAAGAAACATGATGCACCAATTAGAAGATGTCATGAATGGTAAAAGAACTTCTTCAAAAATGATTTAGTTGGAAGGAAAAAAAAACTCTAATAGTTAATGATTGAACAAAATATTAATGTAATATTACTTTATTAGTGAATCAAAGAGCGTAATACAAAGAAAGTAGAGGAGAACAAGGATAACCTAAATAATCTCGTTTGTGCTGGATTACACTTGTGAAAGAGCTGTAGAGATCAACAATGAAAATTGCACAATTTCTTGTTTCATTGTTCAGCTTTACCACAGCCTGCTGCAATAGGAGATTGTGATAATTCACAGCTATATTTTCAGTTTCATTGCATTTTTGGAATGACAACATTCGTGTGCTTCGTGGAAGACACCCCAGTGGTTGCAAAGATGTCACAACTATTTTTCTTGCTCCCAATCCATGGACCCTTTTTAAGTTCACCGCGAGTTGATCAATCACCTTAGACATGAAGCTCGTCAAACCCTAGAAACACACGAGAGTTTCAAGAAAACCATAATGATAAATGTTAAATCAAGACAAATTTTCAAGATCTCAGCCACAATTGTAATTTTACCCCATAAGTATTAAGGGTCATGCTTCACGTACAGAACCGCCTCCTACAGGGTTCTACTAGAATACACTCAAACATTTGGGGGGTCGATTTTTGGGGTTATTTTTTTAAAGAGGCGCGTCCCATGACACCTCATGTGAGAATCTGTAAAACATCTGGCATAACAGACCATGTACACTCAGGATTATGCAAGTATTAAGTCTTAGGCAGCTACAAATTGAAAGGGAAAATTTCTATTCTAATCTACTAGTATTATTCCAAAGCTAATATCGTGAGAAATTCTATAAGATTTGAAATCAACCTCGAGGGAACAGTAAAATTTCATAACTGGAAAATAGCTAAATGATTCCTAAAAAAAATTTATGAGTTCCAATATTATAAAAATCAGTACTTTACAATGTCATTATAAATATGTTAATAGATGACAATATTCGAAGATAAATCATCATAATATCGTCTCATATGGTTGTTATTTGTAATAAATACGTGTACTAAACATTTAATTTCAGGAAGAAGACATTCGTAATAAATACATGATATTTTGTTTACAGAAAAGAGAATTCATCAATGTTTGCCTTCAGGGACTAAAAATAACTCTGTAGTACAATAATATTACCTGGAAAGAGCCACCATTTGCTAAATAGGCAGCATAATCATTTCCTGCTAGACTCACAAGAACTGCAGAAGATTGTAAATCCCATTTGGTGTAGACTGAATCATTGATGAGTTTCTCAAAGAAATCAATTTGGGTGCTTATGTTTGGTAACAAATCTCCAAAAGTATTGAACACACCACTCCCACCATAGGCAAAGTTCATCCCATAATTCCATTTTTGCTTTCGCAAATTCCTCCATTTGTAGGCTACTGGAGACTTCAGTCCCAAGAATGTCGCTGTTTGTGTCATTATTTGAGCACCAAAGATTAGATATTTAGCTCATAATAAGCCAGCCAAAAATGAATTTTTTAAAGAATAAGATGTATAGTAAATATCGGAAATGAACTCCTAAATACCGGTGCTTAGCTTATGTTAAGCATTGATGACATAACATATCATTTAATTGGTGAATAAGATACTGGTATGTCTCATATATTTAATAATTCATTAATTAAATGATGTGCTTGTTATAATGGTCCAGTCCACTAAGCCCATGATGAGAATTAATTGGCCCAAATTTTATATTGTTTACAATTGGTCAAACTTGATCTTTATATATATAAAAGGGTGAGAAAACATATTACCGTGGCTGCAAATTTATATATTGGAAAACGGAAAAACGAAGGTTGTTGTGAGAGAGACTGCCGGCGGGGAAATTTTGGAAAGAAGAAAAAGCTGGAAATTGATAGATTAAATAAAGTGGCTGCTCAATTTCTTCTTGAGGTGTGGTATCACACGGGTTTAGTTATACAAATTGGGATTTCTCTGAGCTGTACTTTGGGTACTTCATAAGTGTAGTATTTAAAGTGAGTTCTCACAAAGTTGATCAAATTGTTGATTTGTGGGGAGATTATTTATTGTATTAGAGATTAATTATTGTGGTATTCCAATTCGTGGAGAATTCAAGTTTTGGGACATAAACTTGAATATTCTAATCTATCTATTTTTATTATAGTGGATGTTGGCAGGAGTTGTTCCGTAGTTTTTTTTTCCTCTACACTAGAGGGTTTTTTTCACGTAAAAATTTGGTATTGCATTTTCTTATTTTTACTTTGATCTTCTACTTGTATATTTAATTATTCTAGTTGATTGATTGGATTGGTGAATTTATTCTTGGGATAAGTGAAATTGCCCGACAATGCTATGTTACTGATACTTAATATAAGCTAAGCACCGGTGTTTAAGAAATCATTCTTGTAGTAAAGATTATAGATGTGCAAATTAAGGCCCTATACATCTACATTGGTGAAAGAAGTGTAGTAATGAATGTGAAAAATAGAGGAATTTTGGAAACTTGCAGTTGGGGAAAGTGGTACCGGACAATGAAAGGGCTAAGAACTCAATTTTCTTTCCTTACACGTAGGACTCGAACTTCCGACCACTCTTTAGCCTTGAACAACCTGAATAATTGTTGTAGGTGTACAAACAAAAGTCACTCGACTTGATATGAGATACTCTTGTGTATTTAAGGAGATTAGGTTACTCCAGTTTAAGTTTCTGGGATTTAATCCCCATCCGTACAAAAGTTGGGGTCTCCAAGGACACGTCCTTCAAGAAACATTGCCCGAAAGATGTTTATCCCAAATATAAACTCGTGTACAGCCCAACTTCATCACTAAGATTAAAATCTAATTCTGGTTCCAGCCCTGATGATCGGACGTAGACATGTAATGTGTAAAGATGAAATGTTGGACGTGTGCATAAAATTGATTCGAAACACAAAGAACTGATATTTACAGCTTAGAATTGCTAGTCATTATACACAACAAGACATTCTTGATACGATAGCCCATCTCCGCTTCAATATCCCATACATGGCACACACAAATTAGCAAGAATGCCATGTCCATGCTCAATAATGTAAATTCTTCCACGCACCAACGCAGAAATTGCACTAAGGCACTATTGCATCAGCCCACCATACACATAAAGGTGACTCGTGTGTGCAACCCAAAAAAGAGAGAGCAAAAGATAAAGTGCACACAATGATGAAACCATATAATTATTATATATCCATATGCTTAAAAATAATCAAAAGATAGAAAAAGGCAGAAGGTGGGGTGTAACTGGGTACCTAGGTAATCAGTGAGAATACGCCCATCGGAGAAACGGCCGGCAGGCTTGCCGGGAAAAGTACTTCCATAAGGTTCTTTCCAAGAATTTGCTAAAGACTTTTTAACATTCCCTGTATCAGCATATGAGTCCCCGAATACAAATAGCTTTGTGGGTCGAAAGCTATATCGTTGATGATTTTCGTGGAGGTTATGCTCATGGAAGTGGTGGTGGTGAGGAGATGAACCTTGGACACCTAAATATCCTGCAAACATGTAAGTATATATAAAACTATACGATCACTGTACATTAGCAAAAGTTTTTCAATCTAATTCTGAAATGAGTTATTTGAATGCTGACATTAAAATTTCCTTTTTATATACCTGTGGTGAGGAGAAAGCAGTGGAAGAAGAGAATCAAGAATTCCATTGAAGAGATTGTTTAATTGAAAGTTTAGAGAGATATCCGTATAGTGTGTTGAGCTTTGACATAGTATATGTATATAAAGGGCTTCATCAGGCGAGTTTGAGGTCGGTTTGGTCTCGTATCTATTTTTCGTAGAAGAGCTTTTGAAGATATATTGGATTTTAGTCATACAAAATAGTTTTAAAAAATTATTCAAACAAATTCAACACGGTTTATTTGTATCAAAAGTCCTATTAAACGAGCTATAAATTGCACGTCATGAGAAATTAAGCCCTTATTAAGGATATTAACTACACATTTTATGAGATCAAAAAATTTTCAATCACATATTTTAGTAATTTTAATCAAATATATTAAAAATATAATTTTAATCTCCACCAGACATGATCGGTGATTCAACCATCAAGGATAAGCATTTTTCAGCTAGGATTTACTATTTATAGTTTAAAGTTTAGTAGCCAATTGATTAGTCTAAAATTTTGTAATAAAATGGTTGGCGAGATTGCTATAATTGATGTTAAATGGGGACTGTCAGTCTCTTTAATGAGGACAAGTGCAAGGGGACGTGGAGATGTGGGATGAAAAGTGTGGCTTTAGTGGGTCATGTGTGGACGGGGAGAGTAGAAAAAGTTTCATTTAATAAGGATTTAGAGTTTACTTCCTATTCTTTAGAGGCACATTGTCAAGAGATAAATTCAAATTATCACAAATTATTCAGTTGGGCGATATTGTAAGAATGCATCGAAAATCGATTTTCTTTAATTTAAAAATTTCATATTGTTACTAGATATTCAGGTTTATATTATAATCAAAATATAAAAAATTAAAATTTACCCAAATTCGATAATCAATTCTTAAATTGGATTTTAAGCACGTACATTCAACATTTTAGACCATGGACCTCCAACTTTTGATTTCAAGAATTTTGATACTCCAAACATTCAAGTCTTTTACGACATTCTTCAAAGTTAAGAGTATACCGGTACGTTGACACATTCTTTTAATTAAATATAAAAAACGATTACTAGACTGAACTTGTTCGCATATTCTATATTTAATCAGCCACCCTATGTGCCTATATATATAGGCCCTAGGCCTTGTCTTCGTCATAAATAAATTACTCAATTTGGTATAATTGCACATATAGTTCATGAACTTAAATCACAATTATAATAAAGTTTCAAAATTTTTCAAGTAATTACAGTCGAGCTCAAAATTTTTCAGAGCCACATAGGAACTTGATCGGACATATATTATTAAAGCTCCTCTAATTACATGTTTTTGCCTTTTCCACTAAAAGCAAAAGAATGTACTATATATATATATGATCATATTCTTGTGGAACTTCTGTCGTCCCCTTCATTGTGGTTCCTTGGCCTTGCTAGCCATTTGCTTGCTCCAACTGTACACATCCAAAGAGGGGGCAAGCTAAACAAGCAAGCAAGCCATCCAAGTTTATAGAGTCGGAGGTTAGAAAGAAGTTGGAGATTTCCCTGTGACTAACTTAGAGCACTTCCGGTCGTAGTCATGTCTTAAATGACGATTTCCTTTCTAAAGTGACAATTTTTGATTCAAATTCTTGTTCTCTATTCCACTCATTCTCAAGTTCTTAATTTATCGAAATATTCGATCAAATAAATTGAACTCACGAAAGATATGTGCAATCTTGTCCATGGATTTAAATGGAGTACTTGTCTATGATATGGAATTTAATTATCGGCACATCATGCTATATAATTAAACACAACACATATTCCGTTCAATATATTCAAAGTGTACTAGTATCAATGATAATCATTTCTATTATAAGGATAAATCACTAAGTCGAATGGCGATTAAGTCAAAATTGTCACACTGTACTTCTTCGTGCAAGCATTCAACTTTTGTTATAGTAAATGATCATATACAATTTAATTTACATACTCAATATTAAATAATGTAATAAGTAAAACGTAATTATTTATGAAATATTATTTTATCACAATAAAACATACTACTTGGCAAAGTTTTAAAATGTGTAATACGTTGCAATACATTTCAATTGAAGATCAACATTACAAGTATACGCGTGCCTATGCAAAGAACCCAAACCAACTCAATTTTATTAGGAAATTTTACATGGGGCATCCGAAAATTTTTTATGTCATACACCATATAAAATTTCATAATAAAATAATGTAAATGATATTGAAAAATTTGTCACACAAAATTAATAAATGTTAATAAAATAATTAAAAATTTTTAAAGAAAATACGAGTTAGACGTCTCTTTTTAAGATGCAAGTTTGATGCACGTTTAGTTATTTTCGATGTTCGTTTGGACAATTCGATATATCTATAATGTATTTCTCAAAATGACTTTCGTGATAACGTATGCGATTTATAAATTCGGCTAGCGTATGATCATTGAAGAATTTTTAAATTTAGTATGTTATCGAAATTTTTGAAATACTAGTTTAAAACGGGTTACTTTAACGTGCCTTAACATTTACTACAATTGTTAATGACGTATAAAACTAGGTTATGAGCGCTTCGAAATGATATTAAAAATGTAATATTTCGACTTTATATAACATTTCGTAATGATCCCAAAAAATTGAGACAATAACATTAAAAAAATTAATTGTGGTCAAATAGGGGCTTAATTTACACAAATTTATAGCGCGTCGAAGTTGAAAAAGTAGGAATTGTTTTCAGTCCGGAAAATTTTTCTAGCTCAGCACATGTAAGCTCATCTATAAAACTAATTTGTACAAGGAGAATTTCCTATATAGGCCTCAAATTGGTATAATTGTACATGTAGTCCCTTACCTTAAATCATAATAAAAATTAAGTCTAAAAATTTTCAAGTGATTTTCAATCGAGTACAATTTTTATTTTTTTATTTTTTTTTTGAACTGATATAGGACACGATTAGACATATATTATTTAATCTCCAATAATTGATCATTTATAATTTACCACAAATCATCCAATTTAATTATTAGTCTTTATTTTCTCATTAATGAAAAAAGACTACACTCTCGAAATATATAAGCTCACAAAAGCTCACATATATCTATAATACATTCCTCTAACATGTTATATTTGTATTTTATCCTGATTTTATATTTGATAATTAGGTGCATGCCACTTGCGCTTCTCTAATTATTCTTTCTAACGTAACTACAGCTTTCATCAGTGGTCTTGTAAATCAAAAATGGATATTGAAATTTAGACGTGGTTAAACATTGAGCTAAGATGTATATTCGTTCAACAAAAAAAAAATGAAAAATGAAAAAAATCAATCGGGCTATGATTGAACCATATTTTACAATTGTGGACAAGATTCGTCAATGAAACTATCTATATTGCAAGTCGATTCAAGCTGAAAATTTATTTTTTTTATTTTTTTTACGTTAGAGCCTAAAACCTCTTTTAAGTTTTATATTATGAAATTAATTTGAATGAACTAGGCCGACCCACCCAATCTTCACGGATAGCAGTGCTAAATTGTCCATCCTAATGCGCCGTCTATTCCGGTCAAACTCATGAACTAGCTTGAATGGATCGAATTTCATTTTGGATTTTAACTGGCTAAGTGGCCTTAGACCTGGTCACTCAAGTCATTTCGACGGTACAATTAAAATGTTAGTTATATATTTTTGAAGAAATTATATAGGACATGTAACTCAAGGCCTAGAGAACTTGATAAGAAATGGTCGTGTCCTGGGTTCCATCCAAGTTACTCAAAATTGCTTTAAAAGAAATTTCATTCTTCCCTCAGATTAAATAATGTATTCCTCCATCTAATTAAAAAAAAAAAAAAAAGCAAGGTAAATAATGTTATAAGAGCTGATGATACCATCACTTTCAGACTCGGCTTGGAGTGCCTAAAGAGAGTGTATTCATTTGGGACTTTTAAAAACATTCGGGAATTTAAAAAGTTTACGTGTATCCAATTGATATTTGTTTCTGAAAGTTTAAGTATATTCAATTGGGACTTCTATAAACTTTTAAAACGTCTCTAAAAGTCATAAAGTATTCTATTGAAACTTTGTACAAGTCTGTATAAGCCATGAGGTATTCAAATAAACAATTTTTGGATAATTCTCTTCTTACTGGAATTCTATAAGCCATGAGGCATTCAAATAAACACCATAAGCTTTATTTTTCGTTAAGTATAATTTGTGTTCTTAGTAATTATATTAATTTCATGAAAAAATTTTGGTTATGTTCTTAGAAATTATGTAAAAGATTTTTATTATTTAATTTGCGCCAAAAGTAAATGACTAGATGGTGATCAGTGACTTTACCCAAGAAAATTTTGTGACCAGTAACTTTACCCAAGAAAATTTTGTGGGTGTCATGGTTCTTGAAAATGTTAATTAGATGGTAAGAAAGATTGCAAATTTTCAGGTATATAATAAATTTGTAAAATGAAAAGTCTTTAAAAATCTTTAATCTAAGTCTACAAAAGTTCGTTGAAGACTTTTTTAATTCTTAACAAATCTATAGAAGTAACTTAAAAGTTCGTAATTAAAATCCATAAAAGTCGCCCACTTAAAAGAAGTCGTTAATATTCCTAATTAAATGCAATCCCTAAGTTACTAATCGCACGCAGGGCTGATCTTGAGATTTATGAGGCCCTTAACTATAAATTTTTAGTAAGTAAAATTAATTTCTCTATAGATTTTGAAAAATGAAATGAGCAATTTTAGAATGGATAACACTTTTTTTTTTAACACTTCCATAAGAAATAATTAATAAATTTTAAAGAAAATTTATAAGGTTAGCAAAAATTATATTGGAGATTTCTTTAATTTTTTTATTCATATATTTGGTAGATAGAAAAACACCACAAAATATAGCACTGAGCAATAGTTTAATGAGGAAATTAGGCCATGCACCCCATAAATATAACTACTTTGATTAATACCTTTTAAACTAATTAAACATTTTAATCAAGTAATAATTACGTCCTATCATATCCTAAATCATTAACTAAAACTCCAACCTAAAGTAATCCTATAGAAACCCACTTATCCTCCTTAGAAACACTCCACTCCAGAGGCGATTTCCCCAACTCCGAGAAAACTCAATCTGAAATC